TTTAATATGCTAAATTTTTAATTTTTAAATTAAATTTTAATAAAATAAAATAAAATAATTTAAAATTTTAATTTTAATTTATTTTTAAAGTCAAAATTGATATTTACATTTCCAATATATATATATATGTTCTCTCGGGTAAAAATACATACTACGGACTAAAATTAAAGTAATTATAAAATATCCTATTATAAAAAATTTTAAAAACAAATTACATGCCAAACGTTCGTTGCACAAGATCTTGCATCATGTAATACTCAGTTGTATTTTAAAATAATTATCTTTTAAACAAAATTAAAATTAAAAATTTAGAGATAATTTATGTGTTTATAAAAGATAAAGAGAGATTTTTTTTAATAGGATAATGAGTTAAAATATAGTAATAATAAGTTTAAAGTAAAAAAATATTTATTTATCTTATAAAATAAAAAATAACAATTAATTTAAAATATGAAAGAGAGAAAATTAGAGATATTTAAAACATTAAAATGTCTAATAATAATCACATTATCAATGTAATAAAATTAAGACCTAATACTATATCTCACGTATTTAAGAACTGTAATTAAACATTTTGATGTTTTAAATATTAAGACATCATAATTTTTCTTTTTTCCTTTAAAATAAATTTAAAGCTCAAAATAAATAATAACTATTTTGACACAAAAGAGTATTATATAAGATGACAACAAGCATTAAAGCTTAGTTAGCTCTCTTTCTGAAGAATTATATAATATTTACTTCTACTTGTTTCAATTTCTTTGGTGTCAAGAGTAAGAATGAGGAATTCAAAGTCATATTAAAATCGAATGACCCTCATTCTCATTAGCCTAATGTAGGTCAAGGTCAAAGGCCAAGACCTCAAATTATTAACCATAACATTTCGGCATGCCCTCACACCGGTCTCCCATGCTTTTACGTGTGATTGGGAACTCACATTTGTTTCCATTATAAACATGGTTAAAGTACTGGGAATTCACATCACCACATTTAATCCATGTAGCTCTTTAGTTTTTGCCCGCCATAAAATTTCTTTTGCTAATTGCATTTTAAAAAAAGTTTAATATTTTATAATTTAAACTATAAAATACAAATTATTATATAAAAGATTACTTGCACATAATTTAAACTGTAATATATATATATATATATATATATTTGTTTCAAAAATCTTGGGGAGCTTCACTCTTCATGTCAATCTTCTTTATCTACTAAAGTAGCTAGCTCAAGCTGCTTGACAATGTCACCGCGTTTAATCGATGTGGCTCTTAATTTGCAATTCATTTTTTTTCCAAAATAAAATTATTTGACCATGATCAGGTTCTATGATTTTGGCTGATGTTGTAAATTTGTAAGCCTACTACAGTTTCTATGACATGGAGGGAACTTTAATATTTCCACGTCCTTATAGATGCCTGGACGGCTGGACGGGCCCATCTCCCATGGCATGCCACTGTGCATCATGCGAACTTTGCCTCTTTTCTTTCTTCTTCGCCCCCCTCCCCCCACTTTTTTTTTAATATTATGAGAGGACACTGACTTTTGGTTTAAAGCAAGTCTGTGAAGCACAGGACGGAGCTTGTGTAGAATTTTGGAGGGGTCAAAATAAATTTCTATGGGCACAAATTTTAAAAGATAAACAAAAGTTTGGAAAGTTTTTGGGGCCCACCTTGGCCCTATACTATCCTCCGTATTCGGTGAAGGAAACCCTAGTAATGTACTATTGTGGTTAATTTTCCATCCATAGAGAATAGAGTTGCCTCTACTGGGAGTTAAGTATTGACTAAACTTTAGGGGCAACACCGACTTTGGGTGTTTATGTTTTGGTTAATGATCTTTAAAACATAAGAATTGAATTGAATAATTCCACACTTTCGGATCAAGTGGTTAATCACTTGCCTTTAAGTAGGAACACTCTTGGATTTGAATTTCAGGTGATTTCCTGAGAATGACACGTCTTTCTTCCTTTAGAATATTAGGACTATTTGTAACTTGTTCAAAAAAACAAAGAATTGAGTCAAAAATACCAATAATTTAAGTAATTTAATGATAATTTTTATTAAAATAAGATATTTTAAATTCAAATTACATAACTTGTAGGTGAAGTGAGATAAAAAATGAAAGAAAATTATCTTCTATTATATAATTAAGATAAAAAAAAAAAAGAGAATTGAGTCACTACTTAATGAGTTGGTCCCACAACTTTATAAATATAGATATTTAATTAGCCTATATGCCCTTAATCAGTTTTGGCGGAAGAAAATAAATGGATTCCTGTCAATGCAACCATCATCCAGTTTTATATAACCTTGACATCATATACCAACTAGGAAACAAACACATATTTTCAACATTTTAAATAACACTAACTATGCATTATATTACAGAAAAAGACAGGTTTGATATTAAGAAACTGAGAACTAACTTCAATTATTGAGGTTAGGAGTAGGACCAAATGAGAATGGCATCCAAGAACCAAGAATTGGATTTATTTGGCTGATCAAAAAAAAAAAAAAAAAAAAAATAAGAATTGGAGTGAGGACTGAAGGTGTGCAAAAATAAAGAAAATGACCAAATA